GTGTGTGTGTGTGTGTGTATGCACTTACGCTTACGCAATTAATAGTGTTGTCCAAATTCAGAATATTACAAAATACAATGTTGTCAATATCATGTCTTTGTAAAAAACTTAAGACGTCGCGGAAACCTAATTTTGCTTCATTCGAGCTGACGGGAGGCTCTTCGTCATCAGGTTTATTCAAAATCTCATCGTTATTAAGAACTCCTCAGATAACCAAATCTTTGTGGATAGCAACAAATTTTTATTTATATTTAATATAATTTATATTTAACAGACGTGTATCATATAAATGATACATGAACATTATCTTATCGAATAAGAATGGCCGAAACAAAGTCGTAAAATGTGCAGTATCAATCTCCAAAATTGTAAAAATTCGTTACATTGCGTGAACTTTAGCCAAAAAACCTTTGTTATATCGAGGGGATCAAAATACATTTAATTGTTCGTTATATCACGAGGTTTTCAAGGGTCCGACAGTTTTATACGTTACATCGAGATTTTCATTATATCGAACTTCGTTATACCGCGAGTTGACTGTACTAACACAAAATCAGTATGTCTTTCGGACCGTACACATATGTACTCCGATCTAAGATACTGAAACTCTCCTCGGTTGCACCGTCTCGGTGGCCTTAAATATAATTACAAAACACTATCTCAGTAAATTTACTTCATTGGCCTTCTTAATAATCCTAATGTTCGAATATGCTCGATAAAATAGTTTTTAGTGCTGGCATACAAAACAACATTGTACTACCGATGACGTTCGTCATTCTATAGATGCCTCAATAATGTGCATTAAAAAAAAAATATCTAATTTTAGTAACTATATCCAATTATGTTCCACTACATAAATTATTTAGCCGTCTGGACACGAGCTCAAAACAAGAATATCTAAGAAAAACAGTAGGTATAATAACGATCTGACCGGCATAGGAACAAAATTGTTTTTGTGCTTTCGTCCTCGTCGTCCTTTCAAGCGTCGAACGTGTCGAATTCCACGAGACCCGTGGCACAGGAAAAAGTGTCTCCGATGCTCGCGGATGCTAATAGATAAAATAACTCGTTTATTAATGACGGAAACGAAAGACGTGTGTAACAATTCTAATTTAAAAAGCGTACAATACGCGAATGCGTGTTACTCGCGGGCGCAAAACGAATTGTGACCGTGTAACGGTATGTGATTTTATTTAAAACAAACATATAGTGTGTTATTGTAAAATGTGCGTAGGCTCGCGTGCACATCGTATGTTAACATTAAAATGGGGATCATTAAAATCTGCACCTTTAAAATGGCTCCCAGTATTGAGCAATATAGCTCCTACTAAGTTCCGAAGAGAACAAGCTCTCATCTGGGAATGGGCTAAGATCAACAGTAACAAGAGCCTTCCGATACACGATGATCCAAGATTTAAGGAGGACAAACTACGTCTAAGGTCTCGCAAATCACTTTGGGTAGTTGCAAAGAAACTATAAATGGATAACATTGACGGAAATAGCAAACGATTTGACAATTGGATGGCGGAAAGCCCTGATGGACAAAACATTGTTACCAATCATATTTCCAAACAACCAGTCTTCGACAATGCCTGGACAAATTCGGATAACTCTTAATCGTATTAGGACCGTCCATGGAAGATGTAAACACATGATGTACAAATGGAAAATACATACTACTTCTTCCTGTGACCATGGAAATGATACGCAAACAATTATCTATATAGCAACTGAATGCCTAATCCGTGCAATCAAAGGCACTCTAAATGATATCCGTACAGCTAATAGGGATGTAGTAGATTGGATACGAAATCTGGATATTAATTTATAATCTATGGTTTCAAATATATCCCAGCTATAATATCTACCATCTTTCTTACTTAACTCATTATGATTTTTATTTTTATATTTATTTTTACTTCATTTATATTATGTTGTTTTATATCGGTCTGTTAATATTTACATGTTCAAATTTGTTGCTCTGCTCTGTCATACGAAATATATATTTATATGAATCGCGTGTTAGGGGTACGGTCGTCAGTCTAGTCTGCTACGTATCCGCACTCGCGTATTACGCGATTCGGTAACTTTCAGCGAAACAATAATGTACCGTTACTCGTTACGAACAGTAGGCGACAACGAGCGTACAATAGCGTGGCGGTGACTACCGTGCTCGCAGCGATGGGCAGTTGGATTTCAGCAGCAGCAGTCGTTCGCGTTTCCGACGGGTTTATTATATTAAATTCCGATGCGCGCACATACCTCATAGTCACTGATCCTCTCGGATTATCGCCTCTCGCGAATCTTTCCGTTCGGACAGGGAAAGAGAGAAAAGTAACTTTACTCGAACAATATTTCGTCCTCGGGCTCCAGAAATATTAATATTCATGTTTTCACTCCTCGCATCAGCTAACAGTACACATTGTGTAAACGATTTATTTCGTTTTCCCGAAAACCGTTGGTTTCAATGCTGCTATTATTACTATGTTATTGTCATATTTTACAAACTCGAATCGATTTCTATTCTCAACCGTGTACTACCGTAGTTGGATTGCCCACTCAAAAGAGTTCGTGTTCGGAATTATTGTTAAAACAGTTTTTTTCTCGGGATAATGATTATCCATGAAACCCTGCACGGTATTATATTATTTCGACGTGGTTAATCTACTCGAGCGATTATTTCTTTCTGTACAGATAAATAGGACGAATCCACTGAATATCAGTAAAGTTTTTCCTGGTGCACAACATTCGATAGTCTCCATAGTCATCGTGCAGCGATCAACGTTTACATTATAAGAACATTCATTTGTTCATGTCGCTTGTGTGCACGCAGGTATTTGAGTTCTTCCGACAAGTATTTCCGTGCTATCAGTGTCATTAATTATATATAATCTCAATGTACTAATGTTTTCAGTTTCGAGATAGTGGCGCATTATTATATTATCGAGAATATAAACGTTTTTCTTCGTTTCTTCGCACGTTCAAGAATGATGGCGTTTTCTGTAGCGAACCGCAGTTTAATCAATCGATAATGCACGTGATATGATTTCTTTAAATATGAATATCATAGATATTTATTTATTCGTAATGGTTTCAATACATTGCATTTTTCTTTCTTCTACGAAGTAATTTTTTATTCGTATTTTAAAACAAAAATATTACATTATTTAATTATTTAGTGATATACTTAATTATTATAAATACACATATGTAATTTATCGATACAACATAAATTTGAACGGTTCTTATGAATCGACTATTTTATTTAATATGGCGTTTTTAAGTTAAATGGATTTTGATAATACCATGTTATTTAATCTAAATCGTTTACAACCGATCACGTTTCGGTAATGTTATTTTATAGCTATATTATGTATAAATTATATGATTTAAATATTTAACGATTTACACTTAAATATAAAGCCAAAAGAATGAATTCACTATAAAATATATTAGAGGTTTGGACTGATTCTATAAAATCGGTACTGATGTGTTTACATCCTAGGCATATGATAGAAAATAATAAATACAAAGGAGAACTTGATAAACATATTTATTATAATTTATAGCAAACATTTGTCTAAATGGTTAAGAGGAAAGCCTTAAAAAATAAACATTCGGATTGAAATAAAACGATTTTTACAAAAATTCTAACCTAAGCACAACGTTTTTAAACATTTATCTAACTTAAAAACAATTCATTTCATCTCAGTACATACTGTGTGCATTCAGACGAACCGTACAGAAATTTATTTTACGTAGGACCTAGTGCTTTTTGCTTTTATAAACAGGTTGGAAACTATACATTGTGGTGCACACAAAGGGATTAGTTCCTCTCCCTCAACAATTTATTTCCATATAATATTGTTTACAAATACACTTTTCGTATGTAAAATAAATTTTTAATTCAGTAAGCCAAATGCGGTTAAATTACGAAGATTTTAAAGAATAAAATGTCCAAAATCATGTCAAACGAAAATCCAGAACACACATTTCTAATACCACTAAAGCAACGGTTTCTAAGGTACGACATATCGCGGCGACAGGTCGCTATGACAAGTCGTCAACATCTGTTTATACGAAAATGTTATTAATTGGTTTGCAAGACGCGACAAGTCGTAGTGACCTTACTTTGAGTCGTAGCGACCAATAACACTACTGCTCCTAGAGCAGTTCCATGCTACATGTCGCCACGACACATCACAATGACCATTGAAAGGTTTGTAGATACAATGGCGTCGACATTGATATTCTCGGCGTCGGAAGACGAAATTCTAATTCATGAAGTCCAGAATAATACACTTTTTTACAATATTAGAGATCCAAATAATGAAAATATTATTCAAAAAGATGACATTTGATCATCATAAATTATTCTCTATTCCGATATATAAATAATTAATTTATAGGTTTTCTAAAGTTTGACGATGAGGTAACTAAAATGTGTTGTTGTTGTTGTTGTTCTTCTTCTTATAATAATAATAATAATATTGTGAGAAGAATATTATTATTATTTAAAATATATCTATTCGTTTTGATATGATATTATGTTATATGAAAAATACGTGCGTATCTGAACAAGTTTAAAAACGAACTAAAAATGGATGCTGACCGAATACCAGTTGTGTCGTTGCGACTTATCACGTCTTGAAAACCACTCTATCCGAAAATATATCCGATGTCGCAGCGAAATGTCGTACCTTAGAAACCATAGCTTTACGGTGTAGATCCAATGTGATGTTGTCACATACATGCCATAATAAAAAAAATAAAGTTCGATGACATATTGCAATAGAATATAATATATATATTATAATTTTATTATTCAGTAAATTAATTAAATAAACAAACTACCTAATAGTACATAAAACATAAATATTACCCATATCTTTAAATATAAAACTAAAAAATAAAATAAAATAAATTAAAATGCTGTAGTTTTGTGATAAAATAATTAAAATATAGATTATGCCTATATTTTGGTAGCAGACATTTAAATAAGTAGAAAATTTTTATTTTTGAGAGGGTTTATAATTTAGATTTTTTTTTTATGAGTTATTGTTGAGGGAGGGTCAACTTCATGTACATGATGCTTAAGGCCTAAAACCGCAGATTTTGCTGTGACGGCTGATTTCAAAGGCATGTTGACAAAAAAAACTCATACCGTGACAAAACCGCTGTATTATCATTGTTTTGAAGTAGATCTCGTCGAATAACTTAGTTAGAAATATAACTAAAAGCCATTGACACATGAATGACAGTAATTAAAAGGACGGATTCTCTAAGCTCAGTTTCCAAATTTCTTATGATTTCCATGGAATTATACGGTTAGAAATTACTAGAGTCGTAAACACTTATGGAGGAGAGGATATTTTACCATACAGTATGGAGTCTCAACGATATGTATCACTGTCCACTGACTTGGAGGAAAGGGTTGTGAGACTTAACTCGTTATCCATCAAATATAGACGTAGGTACGAACATTGTAGTAGCCATAACAGTCTGCCAGACGCGATAAATAGTTGAACGGTTTTCAAATAATTGGATTTCGTGTTCGAGGAAACGCTAATCCGTGAGTCGCAACTTTATCGCTGCTCCAATGACGACGACGGATCTAATAGTTTTTCCTGTGTAACGGTATCTTGCCCGGGTTCACGTCGTTTTTGTAATACAAAGTTGTGCCTCGAAAAAACTGAAAAGGTGTCATAAAATAGATTAAAAGTTAAAGATAAGTCGAAAGGTTGGTTCTTTTTTTTCTTGGCTTTATAATATCGAGTTAATTTACCGATAAATTCAATAACTAGTTCAAATTAGTTCAAATAACCAACAAAATGTTTAGGTTGGATTGGAAAATAATTATTCTTTTTTGTGCTAAGGTTATGTAGAATATTCCAAATGATTTAATCCGGATTAATAAAGTATTATTACTATAGTATTCTTTTTTAATTTGTTTTTAATTTTATTAATTAAATATTATTGTATAATTTTAGTTTTTAAATATTGGAATTCATTCCTTAATACTAACATGATATATGCTTGTTAACTTAACTACAAACTATTATTTTATACATGACTGTACTATAACGTAAATCTTACAAGAATAAAACATCGAGAGCTATGTGATACTGCTTTATAACTCGTGATTTCATTTTTTTAATATCATGTAATTTTTTTTTTGTAACAGTATATTTATAACACTGTGTATATTTAAACTTATACTATACAGGATAGGAAAGTCGGATAAATGGGTAAATTACATTTGCTATTATATGGAAATAATAATATGATCGGTCTGAATAGTAAAAGTGTTTGGTACATTTTAAAGTTAATTTCTTATATTTTCCATGCTATTCAGTTAGGAAAAGGTCAGTGGATGGGAGATCAAATGTTCGAAAATTTGTAGGTAATAATGATAATTGACAATCACACGATTTTCCCTGTTTTTTTATCTACTCCTTTCCAAAAACCAAAAAAATTAAATGGACGAAAATACGGATTAAGCGTCTTAGACTAGAGTTTTTTTTTTTTTTTTTATACCATGCTAACCCTACATGAAAAAAGCCGATTGAAGAGAACAACATATAAACAATTTGTATATCGTATGATGTACAGATATTCTTAATTCAACAGTAAAGTTATTTGTTTTACAATAAAATATTATCTAATAGTAATTTGGTAGAACATCGACCGGAATGCAACAAGAAAAAAAAAAGAAGCTTTCTTTACCGTAAGCCATTCAGTATCACTACAGTATTAGAAATAATGTAATGTAAAATATTATTAGTGTTCGGAGTCAGTAGAATGTTTCAGTGATTATTGAAGAAGCCGATAAAAACCGCAGATATATGGAATTCAGGGCACGTATGTGACCAGAGTATAGGATTTTCGTCAAGGAATGGGGTTTAACATGAGCACAGATTACTCTCAAAAAGATTTGACGGAAGACGAAGTGCGAAACGTGATACTTAAATTCAAAGTGGCCACAGTCGAAGATTTTTCACTAGAAGGAAAATGGAAAAATGCTCACGTGTGTATCGTGCAATCATATAATCAACAACCACAGTCAGTTAGTGTAGTCATATAGCGTATAGTATTATAAATCAAATAGACATAGGTGTACGATAATCGTAAGGACACGGTTGAATGGGAATCATTTGACCACCGTTGATTGACATGGTAGCGCGATATAATGTATAATATAATAGTGAATAAATGGCCAATTTGATGATGATAAAATGAAACCACAGTTGACGAAGACCACAACGATGGGTTAAGGAGATAGTTTGTCGGCTTCAGCGGTGTCGTTTTGAGGTACGAGGATCATGGATTGAAACGTTAATCGACGGGACTGTCAACTGTTGCAAAAAAAAAAAAAAAAAATATATAAAAATAAAAGACCCTCGCGCACGTTTTATTGTCCCTTCTGATAATATGCCGCATATATGTGGATGGATGATGATTATATGGTAATAACTTTAAAAATGGAAACGAAAACATCAGAAAAACGTTCAAGAGTTAGCTGATACGAATAATTGCAGTGAAAACTTCCAGTTTTAAAATCGGGAGACTGATGCTCACCGATGGAGACTTGTTTGAGTGCAGTGTTATATTTCACGTGGACCGGACGTGAGAGTTTCGAGAACCCAGAATGTACTCCCACGGAATCATTATTGTTATGAAATTTTACCGCGATCGAGCTCGTATTATTTCGCACATGGTTCGTATCGTTTTGGACTCGTAAGCGAATAGTATACTATAATATTATAATATTATTATTTTACCGCTGTAAATGTCGTTCATACGGCTTCAGCATGGCGTTTCGCTAAAATATTGTGGCTATTATGTGTCAGAAAATGTAGCAATAAAATAAAAACTGTGCGGTAACGTCCATGTTGCACGTAGAGAAACTGCAGCCCACGCGGAAATATAATGATTCCTCTCGTTCCGAACGATACTTGGTTGATGAATACACTCTGCTATCTTTACTAGAAACCGATATTGAGCACGGTTCTGATCATAATTTCAAGTGCTGCTACTATATATTTGATTTAATATGACGATCATACTGAATGATTCTATCATGTAAATCACGAGAAAAAATTTGAAAAAAAATACAAATCGGATCGACAACCATTATAATCTGCTGAAAAAGATATTTTCATTGTAATGATATTTTTGTTGACGTCATTTTATGGTTGACAAATTTATTGGAATCAGTAACCCCTGTTTTAATCAAACATTTATTTATTAACAATTTTGTGGAAAAAATAAAATATATACTTAATGTGATTACAGCCGTATGTTCATAAACAATAATTATGGTCGTACAATAATATATATTAAGTTTTTATGACATTTATAATTTAACTTGTCGATATTCATTACTTTTTCGTTTCATTGAGGACGGATTGTTACAGAAAACAATTGTTTCTGATATGATTTAAGTATGAAGTTCTTGAGTGAATCTTTCTTTAAAATAAATAAAATTATTTCCTAATGGACACCCCTAGATACATCAAACGTTTTTTAATTCGATTTAGAACAAAAGACGAACTTTAAACTTCAATTTAATATTGCGAAATACTTGTATAGAATACTGAAATAATATGTATCAGTAATATATGTTTAATGCATTTAATGCGAAACAAAAAATAAAATTATAAACCCCGTTGAACTAATCATTCAAGAGTTATTGATTTAATTCGTTTAATTAGATTTTTCAACTAACGTTTTTAAAAATTAAGCATTTCATGGAACTGATAATAATTTTTTTATTTGTAGAATGATATAAAAACAATATTTAATTATGTAATGTAAAATCAGAACCAAAATAATTAAAAAAAAAATTAGGTATTTTTATACTACACACAATTGTATCAGAATAACGAAAAATTAAATGACTATTTTCTTCGGTATTTAATATAATTTTATTTTCTGCCATTAGCATAGAAGGTTTATTTCTTCATAATTTGGAGTCACATGTTTTACCTATATACATATGCCTAGCAACGGGTTTATATTCTCATTTCCTTAAATATTTCAAATAGTTGCGCACTGCATTCGTAATTTCAATCCAATGATCCAAGCGAAAATTAATTTTGAGATTATTAAAACTTTCAAAACGGATTAATATCACGAAACGACTCAAATTATTCTACTCATAGAACTGTGTTAAAACGATTCCGGTATCAAAACGTTTCAAGATGTTTTACATACAGTAAAAAAAAAAAATACATTACATTGACCATGTTAACGCATAATGCGAATTAATATACACAAATAATTTATTTTCGCTTAATGTTGGTGAAAGGTAAATTACATAGTTTTTAGGGAAAAAATTATTATAATTACTTAAGGTACATAAGGTAATATTTTTTTTATTTAATTTAGATTTTATCAATTATTCGAGGTTGATCTCGCAGTATTTATGGGTTTGTTTTATTTTTAGGAAAAAAATAAAAAAGTAAAAAAATAACGTAACAATAAATTTAACGAAATAATATAAAGTAATATTTTATTCTATGTACAAAATAATCAACTTCAACCCTCAAAATACTTGTGTTGGCTTGTATTTTTTTTTTTTTTTTATTATAAAATTTAATTATAAAATAAATAAATCAATTGTGAAATTGCTGTCGCTGTATTAATAATTTAATAATTTTGAAATAAATCTTTAATCCAGGTACTAGATAAGTAATTTTGTTAGTTTTTCATTTTATCCTGTATCTAAATGAACATATATTACTTACTAATTAACGTATGTGTCATCAATTAATAGATCAAGATAGTAACCACATAATAATTCGGACCAGATTATATATTATTATGCTTAATAAAATAATAAAATAATTAAAATATGGTGAAAAATTGACTAAATAATTTGGGTAATTTTTTATTACGAACATAATTTTTTTTCTGTTAATGTCTACAATTACTTAATGTGATAGTATTTTATTGTTGAAATGGGAACAAATATAATATTGTTTTTTTCTTTCATTAAACTCTAGTTTATACAATATTTAAATGTAAAATAATGCGTTACTAATAAAAAGGGTTTTTCAGTACTGTGTTCTTATGAACTAAACTATTTTAACAGTTTAATATTTTCTCTAGTATTATAATTATAACTTTTTTTTTTTGTTAGCACACTAGTTAAAATTAGATTCATTAAAAGTTTTAAAAGAATATTTAAACAGTTTTTATTAAAAAAAAAAAAACTTTTGATTTGATTTTGTTGAGTTTTCAGCATCATCTCTTTCGTTCTCATTATCTTATTAGCAAAATTATATTATGAATGTTATGTTTGTATTCCTTGTTGTTATATTCAAACATTTCCTTGATTATCTTATAAGATTTTAAATAAATTCTATGTGATTTCATAAAAATATGTACGTATCCAATCAGATATGCAATACAGGATATCATTTTCATTACTATAACAAATTATACAATATTATTAACTGAAGAACCCGATATTGCCCATGAAACATTTTACTAATTTAGAAAAGAAAAATGACTATATCAATGAAAAAATAAATTATGTTGTTAAAGTTCATTATGTTTAAAATTATTTTAACAATATGATTTTTGAAAAATAATTCTTTAGTGCATCTATATATAATAATAAGTAAAAAATATATTAAAGAAATCTTACCTTTCCAAATGAATCGGTAAGATAATTTTGACTATAAA